CACCGCAAGTGAAGATCATTTGTTGATGCATAAGTTGGAACGAATACTCCTGTAAACGCATACTCAGATTTACGTCGATTCCCACCGTTTTCAGTTTGTGTAGTAAAGTGCCAAATCGGTTATACTAGCATAAAAGGAAAGGAAATATTGTTATATTACCTGAAGATCAACAATGAAACGGATTGGTCCRTTTTAACTGAACGCGCAAACCGAATTGATAAAAAAAAATTCTGATGGGATTTATGTTCGTATGAAGTTTGATCTCCGTATGTCAAAAGGCATGTATTTTTTTATTTTGGGTCAATGGATTCATGGCGCGTTGAATTTTCATTTTCAAAAATAAAAAGTCACGAATGCGGTGCGTGAGCGATGATTCTCGTTTCGTGTTTGGCTACAAAGTCAGGATTATGCAGATCTTTTGGTACAAGTCTAGTGTGGACATACCGAAATATTAACCAAAACAACCTCGAACAACTCAAAAGCCCCCAAACATTTCACCTGTTACCTTAATCGTTTCGACATACTCGTATTAATTCTTAAAGGACATAGTAACAATCTTACCTCATCAATGCAGCATTGACTCAAGTAGCAAGGTATAAACAAGCTAGCAATAATCATAATGGTAAAGGCAGTACGACCTAAAATCATGAAATTTAATTATAATTGTATATGGAATTAGGTGTATTTAGAGTTTTACTAAACGTACATAAACGCAAATTAAAATCCTCATATTCCAAGTTGGTGTAACCCCAAAGTATAGTTTGTGTTATAGTAAATCCGTGATGGAAGAACACCAAAGACATAGGAATACAAAAATACCTCTCTACTTCGCTCAATAGCTGCCAGATACGCGCCAATAGCTGTTGATTAGTTTGCAATTCCACATATAAATTAAAACGCAAGTCAACGCTTTCACAAAGCACCAGTTCTCGTCTCAAATGCACCAGCTGTTGATAGACCAAATGTAGCAACTCCTGTATCAATAGCACACAAACACAATATTCTACGACTTTAATTTGTGATAACATACTGAACACCACATTGATCCAACGAAAACGCGGTGCCAGGTTGTGGTCAGAGAGCGCATAATTCAATTGCAGTAGGAAGACGAAAACTACGAGCCACCAAATTCCGATACGTAGACAAAACCGCCAACGAATGGTACACAACGAACACACGATTGTATGGTGTTTTCGTATATCCGATTCTATTTGCGCTACTTTTGTGAGTATGCTGCGTAGTTGTTGGTGCCCAGTTAATGCTTGAGTATAGAGCACTATTTGCACCATGATTTGCATGAGGTTGAGGCTAATGGTTAAAATACGAGTCATGTCGTCCAAAGAGTTTTCCCAAACAAATTTACTAACCACGATATTCTTTATATGCTCTATCGAAAAACCAACAGTCAATTGAAGTAATGTGTATACTGCGAAAATAAATCGAAATAGATTGAACAACCAAAGGCGATCGGATGATGTCCTACGTAAAATCAAAAATGGTGGCATCACGACGGCGAATAATGATAATGTCCAAAAGTAAGGTGTAATAACGGTTAGTAACGCCGATTCGGCAAATTTCACTGGACGCATTTTGTACCTGGCTTCTATGAGTTCACAGCTATTAACACTCAATAATAACTGTATTCCATGGTTGCGAAAATATTGTATGAATATGAAATAGGAAAAATTGCCATTTTCAAATTAAATTATTACAAAACGCTTATTTGATCAATCTTTACAAAATCGATCTGAGATAAATTTGCCATTTTAAATTGCATTAAATGTTACTTATATGCCACGTATTCCAATTTCCACATATACCATACATACATATGTATGTATGTTGTATGTTTACAAGGGAATTGATTATCGTATGGAATGTAATAGCTATATTACTGCATAGTAAATTTAAATACATATTTTCAACCTCACGTTTTTACGATTTGAGCCCTAGATATTTTAAAATAAAGAAAAAATGGTAAAAGAAATTTATAAAACAAGTTTTAAATAAAAAATGAAAAATATTAACTTTATCTGCACCGAAGGCATTACCTTCTCAATTTTCATGGAATAGTTTGAATGACAGCTATATGCTATAGGGGTTCGACCCAAACTATACTAAGTATATGTTGGTAAATAGTCTTATCAAATTAAAAAAAATTTCCATACAAGAATATGATTTTATCGGTCAGTACATATGACAGCTATATGCTATAATGGTCCGATATCGGCACTTTTGATAAATGAGCAGCTTTTTGGGGAAAAAGAAGTGTATAAAATTTTACATTGACGTCTCAAAAACTTACGATACTAGTTTGCTTTTATATACATAGATAAACGGAAATAAATCGACTCAGCTCGTCACACGTTCATTTATATACGTACTTTATAACGGGTGATCCAAGTACAAATTCTTTTTTCAATAGCCATCTTGAGACCCCGCATTCATGATTGGATAATATTCGACCAAATAGACCACGTCCAACATGCAGTGAAGAAAACAGCAGCCGTAGCTGAAAGTGTACACGAAGTGTATGAAGAATCGGACTGACGCATGGAAAAACTTGGCGCACTTTAACTAGGGATTTTAAATTGATCGATCGCTCTATGGGCTCTTGAAAAGTTTCAAGAATATCTGACGTTTTCATCAAAAGCATTTGGAACGAAGAGCAACCTGAAGAGATTTTATAGCTGCCATTTGATCCAGAAAAAACAACGGTTTAGTGCTGTTTGTGGGCCGGTGGAATCATCGGTTCATATTTTGATAATGACAGATAACCGACTWATGGGTTTCAACAAGACAGCGCCACTTCCCACACATCGCATCAATCAATGAATTTACTGAGAGAACACCAAGATGGTGTCWTCTCAGACCGTTAGAACTATTTATTTACGGCTTTTCTACAAATTTTGATACAGAAAATAATAAAGCAATTCCATTTGCGATAAAGGTTGTGCGTTTTTGTTAGTTTTATTCAATTCGCGCTTCAATTCTCGATTTCTTTCCCGTTTCAGCTTGTAATTTGAATTGAATTAGTATAACAATATATGTGGCAATCGTTAAGATAGTCTAAATTATTATGAGAAGAAAACGAGTTTTAGAAATATTTATTATTCTTTGTACTTATTTTCTCACCGCTCCAAAATTCTTCAGATTTATATCGAACAGACCACCACACGTGAAGAGCATCTTTTGGTGCATCAATTGAAGCGAATATTCCTGTATTCGCATATTGAGTTGTTCGTCGATCCCAACGGTTTTCAATTTATGTAACATTGTGCCGAAACGATTGTACTGCAAAGAGTAGCAAAAAGTAATTTAGCAGACCCAGAGTGTACTTATTATTTTATGAAAAAAGTTATAGGAGTTTAACATTACCTCATCAATGCAGCATTGACTCCGGTAACAGGGTATAAACAACGAAGTTATCAACAAGACAATATAGCTAATGCGACCTGAAAAAGTGTAAGCCAATTATATGTTATTTTTATAAACAATCCACATATACAGATGCATGCACATAGAAATTAATGCTTGTTAAAGTGATTTTAGAACGAAAAAATGGTGGCAGTTATTGAGCAATTGTGAGAAGAATGAGCCCTWAGCCGGCTTCGAATGGCTGGTGAATTTTTATGATTTTTATGAAAATTAGATATATACTTATCGTTTACAAATTTAAATTAAGGGGTTTCTCATATATCCCATACATCTATAAATACATTGAAGAAACTTACATATACGCAGCTTGAAATCATCAAGCTCAAATTGAATGTAGCCCCAATGTGTGGTTTGCGTCATTAAAAATCCATTGTAAAAGAATAGCATGCATAGTGGAATGCAAAAATATCGCTCGACTTGGTTTAGTAGATCCCAGACACGGGCGAGCAGTTTTTGATTTGCTTGCAATTCAGCAARTAAATAACAACGCAGCTCCATTCTATCGCAGCGCRCAAGTTCTCGTTTCAAATGTATCAGCTGTTGCTGCACCAGGTGTAACAGCTCCTGTATCATTTGTACACTAACACAATATTCAACTCCTTTCATTTGGATCAATATAAAGCAATATACAATAATGAATTTAGAAAGTGTTGTTAACTTAGTCGTAGCGAGAGTGTAAGTCAGTGGTGCAAGAAAAACACAAACTATCAGTAACCAAACGGCTATACGTAGATGAAAACGACAACGCATAGAACATAACGTAGGCACGACTGCACAATGCTGTCGTATATCTGATTCTAGCTGGTTTACGCTGTCTAGTATGCTCCGAAGTTGTTGGTATCCGGTTAATGCTTGAGTATAGATCACTGTTTGTACTATGAGTTGTACGATATTGATGCCAAGACTCAAAATATAAGTCATACTATCCGTAGAGTTTGTGTACACAAAACTTCTGATAATCGCACTGTTAAAATATTCCACGCAGACGCTTGCGGACAATTGAAACAGTATATATACTGCGAAAATTATACAAAATCCAGCCCTATCGGAGGGTGTCCTGCGCAGTATCATAAATGGTGGCATCAGAACAGCGAATAATGAAAATGTCCATAAATAAGGAGTAATAACGGCAATTAACGCTGATTCGGCACATTTCACTGGACGCATAATTCACTTGTGTGAACTTGGAGTTACCTTTACTCAATAATAACTGTAACGGTTAACTTTGAATAGCCACAAGYGTACCTTTTTACTAATATTTGCCAATGTTAAACAAATAATATGTTTATTTATTATCATGATTGGTTTGTGGCCAGGTTATCTCAGATATAAGTTTACATATATCTTCATTCAAATACAGCTTTTTATGTACGTTTGCATGTATATTTGAGAATTAATTAGTAAATGTACAAATATTCCATCAGATCGCAAACATACATATACAATAGGGAGCAGCGCTGTACTTTGAATATGAAGTAGATTAATGTGTTAGACGTTATTATTGTTTGAGAATACAACTAATTTTGCCYGGAACTGGGTTTGCCACATCGGAGATTAGTGTACTATGCTGAAATGATTTAAACTGGTAGAGTTTTTGAGATATCAATTTGCACACATAGGAATGAGTGTTTTCCGATTTCGTTCATTTTCACAATATGACATAAAAATGTGAGCATGTACTAAATTTTGTCGAATCGGTTGGTCGGGTGCCGAGGTGCCGCCCACCTTTTCAAAAAATGATCCCCACTGCTGCCCTTTGCTACTGCGATCCTCTGTATAAAAATACAGCTTCATATCTTAATTTGGTGCTTAGTTATGGCAGTTTATATGTTTTCGGTTAATGGCGATTTGTGGGCGTGGCAATGGTCCGATTACGCCCATCTACGAAATCCGGTGATCACGAATTTTGATTGGCCCACATATTGATCGTCATTTATGTCCTCACGACCACTTTGAAAACGTTGAAACCACTTGTGAACTCTACTACGGGATAGGCAATCATCGCCATAAACTTGGTTCATCTATTGAAACGGTTCGGTAAAAGTGTTACCGATTTTTAAACAAAATTTAATGTGGGCTTTTTATTCGAAGCTCATTTACGCACAGATAATACAAACATATTGATATCAATCGATAAAGATAGCAGATTCTAACGCAGTCGACATATAGATGGCGCCACCAGAGGGCGCTAGATTCAAAAAGTCGTGTTTACTTTGGAACTCACCTTGTATCAAGTTTCATCAATATACATATGTATGTCAATTTTTACTCAACTACTGCTTGCACGAAACGATGGACGGAGAGACAGACAGTCAACCGGATTTCAACTTTTCTCGTCATTCTGATCACATTTAATACTATGTATTATATATCATATATATATTCCAATATCTAATACGTTATACGTAATACATACAACCGTTAGGTGAACAAAACTATAATATTCTGTAGCAACTACTTGCAAGAGTATAAAAATTAATTTAAGTGTTTCCACTGTTCCAGCGGTTTTCCGAATCATCTTCAAATTACCTCTGATTTTGGAAGAAACAGCTCTAATTATGATGATCAACTGGACATTAACCTCACTTTTACAAAAAATTTTAACTTCTAGATTTCGACTCAAGTAAAAATTATGTTTTCGGAATTAGTTAATTTCAGACAATTCAAATTTCGCTATATATGTCTATATATATATTTAAATTTTATATATTTGACGTTATTTTTATGAGTTATATGTATGTCAAAATTCACCCTATATCTCTCAGTTTCATACGGTTGTCCTGTGGCTTCTATATACGTTCTAATCTACATATCCAATGGGGAGTGAAAGTACCCTCAAAGCATAAATTTTGTCTCTTATATGTGCATACATAATGTTTCAATTGCAAAATATTATATACAACACACATAACTAATAATACCGAAAAACTTACATAAGCGAAGCTTCAAATCATCAAGCTCAAAATTAATGTAGCCCCAATGTATGGTTTGTATGATTAAATATCCATTGTAGAAGAATAGCATGCATAGTGGAATGCAGAAATATCGCTCCACTTGATTTAGTAGATCCCAGACACGGGCGAGCAGATTTTGATTTGCTTGCAATTCAGCAARTAAATAACAACGCAGCTCCATTCTATCGCAGCGCACAAGTTCTCGTTTCAAATGTATCAGCTGTTGCTGTACCAGGTGTAACAGCTCCTTTATCATTTGCACACTAATACAATATTCAATTCCTTTCATTTTAATTAACGCAACGCCAAATATTGAGAGCGTGTAAATAAGGGGTGTGTATTTTTCAGGAAACATTTTATAACTTACATACACTTCGAAAGTGCATGTTACTAGAATCCAAATACCTATACGTAAGAATAAACGCCAACGGATGGCACATAACGAATACTCGGCTGCACAGTGTTTTCGTATATCCGATTCCAGATGCACAACATTGATGAGTATGCTACGCAGTAATTGGTGTCCAGTCAATGCTTGAGTAAAAATCACTAGTTGCACGGTAATCTGCACGATAATGATGCCAGTGGTCATAATACAAGTTTTGCTGTCCAGGGAGTTTCTTCTCACATAATGGATAAGAAAGTATYTGTTTTTATATGCAATCCAAAAAATAATAGCCACTTGTAATAGTATATATAATGCGAAAATAATACGCGTTACCAACAACAACAATTGACGATTTGTTGAAGTCTTGCGTAATATGTAATAAGGCGGTGACAAATTTGCAAAAAACGTGAGTACCCAAAGATAGGGTCTAATGGTGACGACTAATATTGATTCCGAAAATATCACAGGATACAAGTTGTCCATTTGTGCACGTCGTTGTAAGAACTATTGCTTAATAAAGACAATGTAAAGGAAACCGAACGAAGTCATCAAAGTAATTGAAATATGTCACATTAATTCTAAATAAATATAAATTAACAAGTAAGGTAAACTACTGTCGGGTGTGGCCGAATGTTATTGTAATCACGATTAAAGGCGTGGATATTTTATCCTGTGTCTACCATAGTTTATTATAAAATATATGAATTCTGAATCAAGATCTGGAATGATTTCATAACTTGTCAACAAAAAATGTCCAGTTAATTTCCCGCAATAATCTTAGTTATTAACCGGTGCGGTTCGACATATTCGAAAGTCAACTAGAGTAATAAGTCATTATGTATAGTAAAGCAGTCCAGCAGCTACAAAAGTAAACCGATGGAGACAGCAAATGACGCCATATTTTTCCCCGCCCCTTTGGAAGATTGACCATTTCATCGTGGAAAGATATACGATCCAACAACGAGCCGAAATTATTAAACATCTTTACAAGATCAAATTGACGCAAGAACAGAAACTACTTGACCACGTATATTCGTGAATTGGGCTGAGCACCCCGTTCACTTCCTACATAAGGGTACTGTTAAAATCTACTAAAAGCACGATTAGTCAATAACTAAATAAGTCAGATACATTAAATACTACCTGCAAGAAGATTGGACGCTATTTTTTACATGTTATAAACAACCGTTTGATAAACAAAGCTACTATTCTCTGCGGATCATTTTGTGGGTGTATGAAATGGACTGATAAATCATTTAAATWCTTTTAAGTAAATTATTGGAATTAATTTGCTATCTTGGATCATAAAACAAAAGTGATATGGTAAATATTTTTTTTTAAGAAAACAGATGGAGATATGAGTCAGTTCCGCCTCAATGGGGGATTGTCAGCGTAAATGGAAACAATCCGATTGCTACATTTAGAAATCCTATCAAACCAGATGGTGCCGAAAGCTCCAAATCCACTAAAATTACATATGTATCTAAAAATATAAGTACTTTTGGCMCTAGTAAAGGCGTGATTATAGTAAAGAATTAGTTTAATTCAACTTTTACATTAAATTTCTTTCGGTTTGCATTTATTTTATTTCAAGCTAGTGCTTTTTACATGGTATACATGTATATATAAGCTACAATTAGACAATCAATTATTTAAAATAATCATTTTATTCAAAACGAATTCCGCTATTCGATTTCTTCTCAGTTTCTGCTTGTAATTTAAATTGAATTAGTATAACAATATAAGTCGTGATTGTTAGACTTATCTAAATAATTATAAAGAGATAAATTTGTTTAATGAATCGAGAATTTCGCATTCATACTTATTTGCTCACCGCCCCAAAATTTTTTAAGTTTATGTCAAAGAAGCCACCACAGGTGAAGAGCATCTTTTGATGCATCAATTGAAGTGAATACTCCTGTAAACGCATATTGAGTTGTTCGTCAATGCCCATGGTCTTCAATTTATGCAGAATTGTGCCGAAACGATTGTACTGTAAAATTAATTTAAGATAAATGAYACGATTTCAACAAAGCATAAACTGAAATAAGTAAGAATTGCTTCTAAATTGAGATCCAAAAAGGATAGTCTGTAGTTATTTTCAAGTATAAATTGAGATAAACAATTTTCTATAAAAAGCTTAAATTAGTTTTAGATCTCGTGTTCTGTTAAATCTTACTTGATTAAACCTTTTCGAATTGGAGTGTTTGTTACTATAGTATTCAAGCGCTTTCTCGTGCAGCTTCTCCTTTCATTGAAATTATTTTAATGAAATTACTCATATTTGTTTATCAAGTATCGAAATCATTATTTCAAATTCTTGTAATAAATTGGAGATTAGGTTGATTACTATTATAATTTTTACCACTCCACCGAATTTCACGCCAAGGTGAATGCAATTTTTGACCCAGGTCATTATTCGTACTAAACATGTGTACGAATCAATCGTATTTAACATGTGGCTTTTTGATCTTTTGAACTAAGTTCTTTATCTCCAAAGTAGTACTCCGTGGCGTATAAGCAACATAGAATTTATAAGGTACTTGTATGAATGTTCTACCCATTTGTCCATTTAATGCATAACTTTAACTACGTATAATTTTTAAGTGAATATTTTTATGGAAAATCCTAAAGGTCTTTTTTGTAGAGTTCCGAATTTTGTATTATAGTGTCCTGTGTTCAGTATTATTTTCTTGCTTAGAAGATAAAAAGTTGAATGCAAAGGATTAAGACACGGTTTAAATTCAAAGTAAAGAGCTTGTTTACGTTAGATTATTATTTTAAAGGAGAAAAGTTATATATACGTATATTTGTGAATGAACTAAATACATACCTCATCAATGCAGCACTGACTCAGATAGCAGGGTATGAGTAAAGCCAGAATTATCATGACGGTGTATATTATGCGATCTAAATATGTATAAAATTATTGTAAATAATGGGTTCAAAGAAGATGAGTTTACACATCGATAATAACACTTACATAAACGCAAATTCAAGTTATCACGCTCAAAATTGATGTAAGCCCAATGTATAGCTTGTATTATAGCGAATCCATTGATGAAAAAAAGCATAAGCATTGGAATGAAAAAATAGCGTTCAGTTTGATTGAGAAGATTCCAAACCCGCCCCAGAAGTTTCTGATTCGTTTGCAAGTCATCATATAAACTAAGACGCAGCTCCACTCTTTCACAGCGCACCAGCTCTCGTCTCAAATGTACCAACTGCTGCTGCACCAGTTGTAAGAGCTCCTGTATCGTTTGTACACTAATACAATACTCAACTCCTTTGAAATGGATTATTGTTCCGAAAAAAACAATAATTCCACGCTTAATTGGATGAAAATATTGAGTGTAAAGCATATAGCTCAGGTAAGGTACAAAAGTCGAAACCACCACGAACCAAATGCCAACACGAAGCCCCAAACGCCAGCGAAAAGATGCCAATGAACAATCGGTCGTTAAGTGTTTTCGTATATCCGATTCTAATTGGACAATGTCATTGAGGACGTCGCGTAATAAAGTGTATTTAGTTAACGCTTGTACATATACTGTTATTTGCACTACTAGCTGTACGACATTAATGCCAATACTTAATACACAAGTCATAATATCCAATGAGTTGCGCATCAAAAAACCACTGAGCAGCACATTATAAGTATAAGCGACCCAAAAGCTGATCACAAATTGCGCTAGCATATAAAGTACGAAAACTGTGCGAATAATATACAAAATCCAGTGGCGATTTGTTGGAGCCGCACGAAGTATATAATTTGGCGGCATCACAACAGCAAATAATGAAAACATCCATAAGTACGGCGCAATAACGGCAATTAAAGTTGACTCGGAAAATTTCATCAGCCCCACGTAAAAATTATCAACAAAATTGTACTGAAAATAAACTAAGTTACAATAGCTCTTAAAAAATCTCTATTTTGAAAACCAATCATACAAAAAATCACTTTTTATTTACCTTTGCAAAGATTATCCTTCTTTAATGGGTATTAATTATGAACTTTCTTCTGTAAAACTTTCACTTTGTGGTTTTAGATTACCTTCTGCAGAGGGAAAATTCTTCAGCAATAATCTTATGATGAATGTTACATAAGAGTATATAAAACTAGTTTTTATCCTGTATTCTCAAATATTTCTAGCTAAATTCGCTGTGTTCTCTGCATTTGGTATTCCTACAATTCATCTGATATCCTAAAACCGCATTTATAGTTACTCATACGACATGTATGACAATTTGTTATCTCCACACATGCATGCATTTACATTAAGTGTATTTACTTATGAAAGTATATTTGTATGCAAATTAATGATAAATGCGTTTTGCAAATTGAACAACCAATTAATCCGATGTCATATTTCATATAATTCTATTTTTATGGCTCTCACATATGTATGTATATAAGCATGCAGTATTCGCGAACTGGAGTTAGTTGAGCTTTCTAGAGCTCTTCATTAATACGACATAACTTAGTTTTTATAACCTACTGAACCTTCACTGATGAAATAAACTAAATTTATTTATAAAACGAGAAAAATAGTTAAAATTTTAAAATACATATGTACTGTACATACGAACGAGTATTACAATAGTATAAAATATAATAAAAACGCTTGTTTATTTGTTTTTTAACTCAAGAGAAATAATTCGGATTTTTATTCAGTACTTGATGTCACAAGTCTTTAACTCGGTAACAAAAACTTTATTGTCTCCAGAGAAAATTGCTTTCCCATTGTTCGATTATCTATTTACTAAGTGGGTCAATGTTAATAATATCCTATTTAGGCCATATCTGTCACTCTCCACTCTTGGAAGTATTTATTTATAGTCTCGGCTGCTTATTATAATAGTTGTCCAAATGCACTGTGCATTAAAACTTTATGCACAGTAGGAAACATTGTTTACCAGTCATGCAAGTCTATGTAAGTTTCGCCATGGTTTTGGCATAACGATCGAATTTTTCTGGACCTACGTCTAGTCTCTTGACATAACTTCAAGAATATCTTTGAAATGATTTTTCACTCCTCAATTAATTGTAATTCGAGAAGGGACTTCAGTATACTCGAAATTTATTTTTGTTTTTTTGATCTTGCCATCCTTGGTGTTACACGACCGACAAGTTGGAAAATTTTTCTCTGAATTGGATATTTTTCTACAATAGAGGCAAGCGCCATCATATTTTTTTTTTCAAAAATTAAACACGTATATGAGCAAGAGCATTATATTGAAGTTATAATTGAAATGCTGGCAAATAAATTATGAGCAATAAAAAAAATTTTAAAGCAAACATATGAGTATGAGCAAAGTGTGCACTGATATGCTGCTCACGAGTATGTAAATACGAACCTTATAAGTAATAATAGAACATTTTTAATTTTTCTTGCTTTTATATCAAAGTTTTTATTTATATTATTTTTATTTTTGCTAAATATAATTATTGTTGATTGCAAAGTAATGCCTGAACATTAATATGAATGTATGTGTTAGGGGAGCTCTTTTTTCTCTGCATTTAATTATACATATGTATATAAGCTATATAATAATTGACATAATGAATAATTAAAGTTGGTTGGGTTCAATTGTCTCAACGAAAAACAAATTCCGGGCAATCACCTGTGATTTTTTTTTTTACTTTAAATAATTAACAAAATGTATAATGGAATTAATGATATATAATTAATAAATACATAATAAGAACCCCCCTAGTACCTATCCCAGAGCTCATTAACTTTCAAATACCAAAAGAATGATTTTCGATTCAAGGTCTTAAACATTGAAAGCTGAATATAGGCGTTGTTAGTATTATTATTATTATTTTTTTTTTGAACTAAAATTTGCCACAATTCAAAATCCACGAGATATCGATTTTTTTACACCTCAAAATGGTTTTAATGACAGGAATGCTACAAAAAGTGATCAACTTTATATGGTTTAACTCATTTGACGCTTGAAATCATGCCGCAACTAATGAACTCTGCTACATACTATACATTGCTTATCCACACATATTTACATACCTTGGAGCATATATGTGTGTGTAATAACGCTATTTTGTGTGTATTTATTTAGTTGTACATTTGTATTTGCGTACATACATACGTTTTCTTTACTCTATACAGAYATATATTTGATCCAACTGTTAAGCAATAAGTTTAACTATACACAAGTATCTAATGGAACAGATGTCATAAGTTTAATACACATTTTAATTTCTAATGAAATGTAACAAGTTTGCACTGGTAGATGGAAGTTTSATTGAATTGTACTGCTAAGTAGGTTGTAATACAATAATTATTCTTACTTCTTCGAATGCAAGACACACAATTTTGGTTTTATTTTTAAATAAAAATATAGTTGAACTTCCGTAACTCGAGCTTCCATTACTCAAACTCCTGAATTGGCATGAGTGTTTAGAAGTCAAACGTCATACAAATTTCTTTACATAAATCGAACTCTATGGTAAGTCGAATTTTTTGGGGGAATCTTACTTTGTAAACAATTGCATAGGTAGTGCCGCGCGTATTTATCCCTTTAAATGTTCCTATTACAGATGATATTGGGGGGGAAAATGAGCTTTGCTCAGCGGGCTTTATAACTGACGATATTGTATAACCGAATACTTCAGAGCCGACGAATATGACTCTTAGTCCCATGGAAAACGATGAGGAGTCGGAAAAAGAAATTATGTAACCGTCATCCCAACATGATGTGACGTATTTCTTTGTAATTTTAAATTCCGATTTAAATACGAATATTAATACAACTGACGATCACTACAAARCACTGAACGGATTAGAAGCAAAAAATATTGTATTATTACAGAATACATGTTTTATGTGAATAAACATAAAACTGATTCGAGTTAGGGAAGTTCAGTTGTAGGAGTATGTTTTGAAAGTAATTTTATTTACAAATTATTAACTTCTCTCATATTTAAATCACCGTTTAATACGAAAGCATAAGCGAAAGACTAATGTTGTAATGAGCATATTTAATTTTGTACATATAAGAAAAAAATATTTTTTGTAGTTTTCAAGCTACTTTCAAATCGTTTGCCAACATTTATACATTATTTTACATAATCTTTTCAATCAATTTATATCTAATTGCCTGTATGTACACTATAATTACTGGTATCTAAATTCATACATATGTAGATTTTATTAACTATTATTCTAATATTATTAACTAATAGTATTATTTACTCTACTGCTAAATCCTTTCTGCCTAACCTTTTAATGTGAATAGATATTTTACTTTATTTCATAGTATGTGTTAAAATTATGAATATTTTTGTGTAGAAAATTTTAAAGACAATAAACGTTTTAAGTAAAGTTTAATATCTATTTTAGTGGAATTATGTGCTTGCAAGTTTTTGTAATACATTTTTGCAACTTTTCTAACTAAATGTACATGCTCTCTGCAAATATTCATATGTAATTGCACTGTTTTTTACACATTTTCTTTTTCGCCGTAATATCGATAGATTAATCACAGTTTTTTGGGGTTATAATCTTATAAAATATGTATGCATAAATATGTACAAATTATTGTTTAATTTCACTCGTTTATTGCGCAAAAATCTTTTTCTTTAAACGTATTACTGAAAGTCTTTTTCAATTTTCAAATTTACAAGGATCTCAATATATTACACCCTTATCAGGTACCGCAGCAATTAAGGACGGCTTTGCAGATATTGGCGTAATGTATTTGACCCATAAGGCATATTCTGTTGCTGAGTTGCAATGTTTTTGTTTTTCACAAAAAGGATATGAATATACAGCAATTTGTTTTGGAGTTATTTCATGATGTTCGCTTTTTATTGCTCCGTTTTCTTAATCAAGTTTTAAACAAAATGTTAACAAATACAATTCTTACTTATATAATATTCTACTAAAGTAAAAACAAATTGGCATACATTGTAAATTTGTTGATTTTTGATTTCCATTTTTAAACCTGCAAATTTTCAAAAATACATGCATCACAATTTCATTAAGGAAAAAAGTAAATATGCGTAAGTATGAAAATGAGGAACACTTTAGTTTAGATATCAAAGTTCGATTGTGACATACGTATAACTATCTTTCAAAGTAAACATAACTTAACAAATAGTAAAAATAAATTAAAAGGCATACTATAGGCAGGATATAATTTAGCAGTAGAGTAACTATTATCCCGTCCCGTGCTTGCCGTTCTCGAACAAACCTTTCTTGAAAAAAGGTGACAGCTGAGACAGTGTAGCACGGGTGAGGCCCGGCCCGCCGGGTCCCTCATAAATAGGACATTGCGGAATTTTCGTGCAGACTACAAACAAACGTCGCAAATACAGTTCGAGTAATCGTCTTCGATGCTTAGCCACCGATTCACTGTTGGATGAGAAAATCTCGCGTCTTGGAAAAGGTAGGGCGCTGATCTACCATATMCATAAAGAATTATAATATTTGAATTACAGCATTTATATTTATTATCGTTATACTTACTTTTGCTCCATAGCAATGCTTCATACTCAAGTGTAATTCTCTGAAGCGGCTGTAGCGTCGCAAGATGTTTAGCTTACCATCAGGGAGCGCGATTCGCACTTCATATTCATAATGAGTTTGCTTACCGGCGCCTCGTATCACAAAGCTCGGAATTGTAATGAAGTGTTCTGTTTCGGCTGCAAAAAGTGTAAAATACATCAAATTTACCTTAGCGTAATTAGCATGAAATAAAGCTCAACTTTTTGGACTCTACTTACGGAAATCTCTCATTGAAGGGCAAGAGCGTGTCATGCTGGGCACATAGGAGGACTCTTCCATACAATCATTCGCTCTTAACTCGTAGCTCATGTCATTATCACGTTGAAAGTATGTACCACACTGATCATTCTCAGCATCACCTGGCGATTCCAGCAA